GGACGGCGGGGGAGTTGGCGAGAAGTGGAGACAGCAGCGGGTAGAGAGAGATGCGAAGAGTGGAAGCCGGTAAGTGTTAGTGGGAAATAGATTGAGAGCCGAACCCAGAGGACAATAAATAGCGATGGCGAGAGTTAGCGTGAGCAGAGTGGAGATTACGGTATAGGTAGGTACAGGGAGAGTTAGCGATAGACAAGTCACTGTGTGTGAAGAGATAGGCAAGTCACTGTGTGTGAAGAGATAGGCAAGTCACTGTGTGTGAAGAGATAGACAGGTCACTGTGTGTGAAGAGATAGACAAGTCACTGTGTGTGAGGAGATAGACAGGTCACTGTGTGTGAAGAGATAGAGTCACTGTGTGTGAAGAGATAGACAGGTCACTGTGTGTGAGGAGATAGACAGGTCACTGTGTGTGAGGAGATAGACAGGTCACTGTGTGTGAGGAGATAGACAGGTCACTGTGTGTGAGGAGATAGACAGGTCACTGTGTGTGAGGAGATAGACAGGTCACTGTGTGTGAGGAGATAGACAGGTCACTGTGTGTGAGGAGATAGACAGGTCACTGTGTGTGAGGAGATAGACGAGTCACTGTGTGTGAGGAGATAGAGATAGAACCCCTGTGTGTGCGGTGAGAGAAGAAGAGACTGTGTGGGGAGACAAGGAGGATGAGCGGACGGTGCTGAGGGGAATTCGAGTGTTCGAGTTGGCGGAGCGCGGAGAGGAGAAATTATATAGTGTGTGAAATTATATAGTGTGTGTGTGAAATTATATATAGTGTGTGTGTGTGATTATATAGTGTGTGTGTAATGATATATAGTGTGTGTGTGCGCGGAACGATGGAAATAAAAGTGACGGAAGAAAAGGCGATTGTCGTCCGAGTGAATCTAAGGCACTACAAATGTATGCTTGTTTAACAGAATCTGTCGGAGCAGACTTGCCAACATTTTATCCCTTCGCCACAGAGCTCGCAGGAGGTGCCCGACGATAGGATGCGCGACCGGGAGGTCAGGCGCATGAAAAACAGGTGCACGTCTTACCGCTCAACAACGAACGATTCATTTTGTCGAATGATATGTTGCACTTAATTCGTGATTCTGCTCTCCCGCCACGCCTCTGAACGCTACCCTGCAACTTGCAGGTTGGATAATCGTTGCGGTCATGTTTGTGCAGTCAGTAGTTGTGCGCTTTTTTTTTTAAAAGGTTCATCTTAAAATGTGTGGGCACGCACAGAACAACAAAAAAACCCGTGCTTTCCACTCTTGGCGTTATTTAGAGTTTTACACTTTGTTAGGTCACGTGTATGTGTGTGTTTTTATCGTGGGGAGCGGTAGTGTAGCGGTGAGCGCGCTGTGCTACGAACCTGGCAACCCGAGTTCAATTCCTGCTCATGGCCACCACCAGTGACGATTTATCTGAACCAATCCTGGGCCTCCCTTAGGTCGACTCAGCCTCAAAGGAGTACCTGCTGTGGTGTATACATATACCCACTGGGGATACAAAGGCGGCCGGGCGTGGTGCAGGTTATACGGGGGATCTTTGTATTTTATTTTATCATGCACGAGTTGTATGTTTACCCATTGTGTACGTGCACGTGTCGCCTGGCTACCCAGGGAAGCGGTCAAGGAATGCCGCCGGCGACAGAAGGAGTATGTGAGGTCCTTGGAGAACCGCGTGGAAGTGTTGGCGGTGCAGAACAGGCAGCTGCTGGATGAGCTGTCGTGGCTCAAAAGCCAGTTCCGTTTGAATCCTGGCAGCGCTGGGCAGTGAAGTTGTCCGTAGTTGCGCGGCCTCGCATGGAGCCCGCAATCACCCGGAGTCCAAAACAACGCTTCGAGTTGTCAAGTGTGAACTTTATTTATTGAGTCAATTGGAAACATCCTATAAATAAACAACTGACTCTAAATATTTCAATCATTTTTGGATGCCTGGAATCAATATACGTGTGAATCATGGGTTCTATGATTGTGGTTTGGCCCTGGTAATTGACTGGAATTATTGTGCAGATGTCAGAATGTTGGACGAGAAACATTCCCGGCTTGCATGCAGGGCTGCCGGCTGCACCGATGGTTTCGTGGCTTTATTCTGAGGAATTGGTTACGTGTGAGGCTTAGCCTTGGCGCACTTTGTTTTGTACACATTTTTAGAGCCATTCATACAAAACAATGTGGATTTACCGTAAGATCCGCGGAGCGATCCTCCGCGGGATGTTTTTGAGTCAGCCTCGCGCTGGGAGTGCGAGTTCTGTTCCCGCTCATGGCCAACACCGGTGGTGATTATCTGAACGGGTCATGGGCCTCCATCTAGGTCGACTCAGCCTCAAATGAGTACCTGGTAGGCTGTGTTAAAACATCGCCACTGGGAAGACAAAGGCGATCGGGCGTGGTGTTGGCCACCCATCCCCTCTTGTGCCGTGCCGGTCTTCATAGGTGCTGGCTAACAACACGTGCCCCTACACTCTGTTAAGGCTATAAGGGGTGATCTTTGTCTTGTCTGTGCGTGCGCGCGTGCCCCGTGTGTGTGAAATTGTGGCGACTCATTTCGCCGCTTCGGATAAGCAGGCCAGCACCAGGATGCAAGGTAAGTGAACACGAAACTGGAGTCTTCTCCATTTATGTAACTTTATACTTACGTGTTTTTCTGGACGGTGTATTTGTTTACAGTTTTGCATGCAAATGCAAACACATTTCTACTCATGAGTTAAACGATGCTTCCCTTTTTTGTTGAACCGTAACACATTTAATAACACTGACCTTTAGGGGGGCATCGAAATACGGTGCATTGTTGTGCTCCGTCTTACGAACAGCTCGACTTGCGAATGGTTCGAATTGCGTTCGTATGTCGAGGACTCGTCGTGCAAAGCTCAGGCGAAATGTGATTGACATCATGGGTGTTTAGTCGATTAGGTTTGTCCACTACTGTTTAATTGTCAAAAACAATAATCATACAGCACATTGAGAATTACAATGTCCAAAACACGCAGCTGCAAGGCAGGGTATCATCAGGGGCGGAGCCAGGATTTTCAGCCCGGGGTGACATTCAACAAATTTTAATTTCAAGAATGATTGAATGAGAAATCGGCTATACCCCACGCCATCGGTTGGCGACACACTCTGACAATGCAGTTGCACGGAGTCCGCCAGACCGAGTGTCGTACACTTATACGCAGAATGTTTCAGATTTTCGATTTTTTTATTTTTTTTCGGGGGTGACAATTGTCTACCCTGTCACCCCCCTGGCTACGCCCCTGGGCATCATTAATTAGGAACGTTCACACGTACCTGTGTTATGCACCGGCAAAATGTGGTCTGTATTCTATATGACATTATTTTGTGCGTGAATGACTAACACGTCTTTACTTGTGTGGTGTAAATGTAGGCATTACTTGGGGGCTAATGACAATATGACAAATATTAGTTTTCAAATCAAGCAAAATACTAAGAACGTTGTAAACATTGATGCTCAAGTTAATATCGAGATTCGTGAAGTTGACCGAATAAGTTACGTGTTAATAGTTAACAAAGTAAACACAAAACATGAATATACTTTTAACACTCGTAATTATACAGCTTACAACAAATTACAGTCTTAATATTATTGACTGGTCTTGCATGTCTGGATCCAGCATGACTGCATTGGTACATGGTGTGAAATCACTGGCTCAAGTCCCCTTGTGTCTCTTGTCACCGGAGTTACTCCAGCATCACGCAGCGCAGAAGCAGCCGTGAGATCAGCGATACGCACCCAGCAAGTCATTAGAATTGCATTTGCATAAACTATCAGCTGTATCTGTGTCACGGGTACGATGATAAGTAAAACAAAACACTGCATTCCTCATTATCTGCTTCTTTTATCAAAACATTATGTGAAAGGTCGATGTTTAAGAGCAGTGGCTCATCAGATCGGAGAGGGGAGGGAAATTGATTTGACTTATGGTTATCACATTTAACATTGCAGTGCCTTAGAAACCGTAAATGAAGTTGAAATGAATATTTTCCCGTTTGATACTGGGCCCAATTTACACATTGCTGGCAAATGTTATTTGTCGTGAGTTTTGGGGAAAAAATGTCTCCATCACCAACCATGGCCATTTCATGAAGATTAAAATATGGCTCGGTGAGTAGCGACAAATCTTCAAAGAGTGAAGGTGTTTATCGTCAATGCCTGCGAATGCAAATCTGGTCATTTGTCGACGTTAAAGTGCTTTAGACACTGCAGCGTATCGTCCAAACCTTCAACGAAGTTAAACTCTGCCCTCTTCTCAAAAGACGGATCATCAGCCTGTTATAGATATTATTATTATGTTATAAGGTGCTAATTTTATTTGCGCTCGTGTGCAACTGCCAATGTAGCCCCGTATTTAGTTGTAGATGCTCGTATTGTTCCGGCTCCATTGCAGGCATCGTGACTTATCCGATACATATATCTATGAACTGAACCATCACATAAAGTACCCTCGGCACGTACAAAGCATCATCCTGAGGGCAGCCTTCAGCTCACTCCCAACGACTCAGAACCCTTGGCTCATCCCTATAAAACCTTCTTACTTAATTAGTCATTAGGTGCAGCTGTGGAAATCAACTCTACACAGTTGCACGTACAAATTTTGTAATCGATATGTGCAATCATAAATTAGTTTATTAAATATTCAAACCCTCACCTAAACCTGGCCGTGTCTGTTAAGTATCGCCATGGGGGGTGGGGGGTGGGGGGTGGGGAGGTGGGGAGGTGGGGGGGGAGGTGGGGAGGTGGGGAGGTGGGGGGGGGGGGAGGTGGGGAGGTGGGGGGGGGGGGGAGGTGGGGAGGTGGGGGGGGGGAGGTGGGGAGGTGGGGGGGGGGGAGGTGGGGGGGGGGGAGGTGGGGAGGTGGGGGGGGGTGAAGTGGGGAGTGGGGAGGTGGGGGGTGAAGTGGCGGGTGGGGAGGTGGGGGGTGAAGTGGCGGGTGGGGAGGTGGGGGGGTGAAGTGGGGGAGGTGGGGGGTGGGGAGGTGGGGGGTGGGGAGGTGGGGGGTGGGGGAGGTGGGGGGTGGGGAGGTGGGGGGTGGGGAGGTGGATTGGGTCGTCCACTGTCTCGTCTCTCGGGAGGAGTTAGGGGGGTTGATGTGGTGTTGGGGGTTCTAGGGATGTGAGGGGATGGGAGGGGGGGGTTAATCCCGAAGGTCAGAGGTCGCAGCCTAGGCGTTCGATCTCGCTGAGGCAGAAATCGAGGTCCTCCCGTCGCACGCTCGGGGAGATGAGGATCATGCGGAAGAAGTTGACGCGGTCACCGTGGGGCTGGTAGCCAACCATCATGGACCCTGCGAGCATCATGCGTGTCTTGATGGCAGGGGCGACCTGTGCGAGGGAGAGAAATTAGGGCAAGGGGTAGGTGGGTGGTGTGGTAGGTGAGAATGGGTGAGTGGAACAGGTATTGAGTAGGTGAGTGCGTGAGTGATTCATTGGATGGGTGAGTGAGTGTGTACATGGATTATAGGTAACGCACTCCCACCAATATCACCAACAATATCCTACCAATATCCTATCAATAACCTACTAAGCACAACCACAACCACGGAACTGGCCGAGACCATTAACTACAACCACAATTGCAGCAATTCCTCTCACCAAACACCAATATTATCCCAAGCATCGTTATCAACATCTATTACCACAATCACAGCATTGTTCTCATAATCTATTACCACAAACACAGCATTGCTGCCACCAACATCAACTACCAACCACAACCACTCATCTCAAGCACTCAAATGAGTGCCTGGTGTGGTGTGTAAACATCCCCACTAGGGAGACAAAGGCGGTCGGGCGTGGTGCTGGTCATCAACCCCCTCATGTGCCGTGCCGGCCTTCATAGGTGCTCCCTAACAGCACTTGCCGCAACAGCCTGTTAAGGCTATACTGGTGATCTTTGTCGTGTGTGTGTGTGACGGTTCAGCCGCTCACCTTGTCCAGTTTCTGCCAGAACAGCTGCCCCCTCGGCTGCCCCCTCATGCTGGGCGGGATGAACCAGAAGCAGACGTTGGTCCCCTCGGGCTGCAAAGGAACCAGTCACGCCAGTCACTCTGACTGCGTTGCCAGTACTCGACGCAATAAAAATAAACAATGCCCAGCGAGAATATTTTCTGGGTTGCTGATAGACTGGAGTAGGTGCATCACGAGTAGCCATGGCCATAGTCAGACGGATACCGGATGCTGTGTACTGGGGCGTGGAAATATTTGCCGAGCCAGACAGACCCGCTTGAATTTGGTTACCGAGAAAAGTCTCACTGAGACTCTTATTAAGGCTTTTTTTCAAGAGGGTCTTGCCGCATTGGGATGTTTGGCCAATTTCATGAATGGGTGGCTTCATGTTGGGAAGGATACGGACGACCCAAAGGAAATTCATATTTGAGAGGGTAATGCTCAAAGGTTAACACATTCAGATTCACGGACCGACTTGCTCTACTGCCATCTGGCTAGCCCAGTGTGGTCTGGTGTTCGGGAATCCCAGACTTTGAGTATGATATATGTCCATATTCGAGGTTATTTGGGTTAGATCGCGTAAGGTTTGTCCCGTAAACAAAGCATGCCAATTAGTTACCAAGTTCAGCACGCCGGTGTGATTGAGAGTAAACCCACAACATTTACCACTCGAGTACCATGTTATTTCACTGGTAATTACAACAATCAGCCTCATCAGGCGATAGCCCAAATAATGATATACAACAATTAATGTTCTATTAGTACCTATATATTTAGGCAGATGATGAGAATAACTATCACCCAAGAGTACTGTTTATGAAAAAACTCAACTAAACTTTTTATGTGACCAGTTAAGGCCCACTGAGCTGTATAGCTCTTTTTCAGAAGTGACCTGACCACAAATGATAGTTCAACAAAGTGGCTTATCACGTGGAAATGTACAGCAGCCAAATAATCTAAGCGCGTGTTTCTAAATGTGGAAGGGAAAAATCGGAGGGGGAACTCGTAGACAAATCCACGTGACTACGGGGAGAACATGCAAACTCCAAATATACAGGCATCTGGGTCTGGATCGAACCGACAACCCCTTACAACAACAGCAGTGTCACCATCGTGAATGTGAATGCGTGCACAAGGCCCGGCATGATCGCTGCCACACACCTCCATCAGCAGCTCAAATCCTTCCTTGTGCTTGATCTCATCAGCCAGGTACCTGCGCACGCGACACGCGGCCACGCATGCAGGCGAGGTAACGCCGCTACCCCCACATCGCTCCAGCGAGCTCACAAAGTGTAGCGCACAGAGAATCGCATCAGCAGCCATCGGCCATGGTTACGCCACTGCTGGGCAACTTTCTCCAAGTGAGCAGTGCAGCCTGAAACACAGTCACCAGTCACTTGCAACTTCGATTTCCATCAAAAAACCGAATGATGTAACCAGCGTCGAACTGCTGTGGTGCTCAGCCAAGGCATTGGGACGGCACTCACATCCGTGGGCAGCCCTGAGCCAGTGTTACAAAGGTGTTCTTTGAGCACGTGCTCTAAAAGCACTCCTATTTACAAGTGTTATGTCCAGAAAAAGTGTTACAGTTGGTTGCAGTCTGTAAAAGCCATCTGCTTGGGTACACTCTACACACACACTCTCTACAATGTACTTTTATGGCCACCTTGATGAGTTCAACTTTGTACAAGAGTCCTTACAAGCTCAAAATCTTCCCCCAAAATAAACTCTCGGATTCTCATGCGGCTACCAAAGCCAGGCCAGTCCCAGTCTCAGTTTCAGAACGGCTGTCCCGGTTTCCCAAAAACATTTTGCGAAAATTGCGATTTCTCTCCGGGGTTAAACACTTTCCGGTCTCATGCTCTGTGGGTGGAGCTTCCTGAGCGGTGGGCCGGGCAACCCGAGCTGTGGGGGGGGGGCTACCTGAGCGGTGGGCGGGACTACCGGAGCTGTAGGCGGGGCTACCTGAGTGGTGGGCGGGGCTACCTGTGTAGTGGGTGGGGCTTATTAAGGTAGGTGCGGGGTCCAATGTTAAGGGGTCACTCACTCTGAGGGGCCCTGTTTTGTAGCCGTGGGGTGGAACTGAGGAGCAGGAGGGACTGGCCGCTGGCTCACCAGCTCTCACCTGGTTGAGCCTCCCAGAAATGAGGTGCACCACACGTACGTATGTATGTACGTTGAACCTCTTTCGCACCGTACGTAGCCGACCGTGCTAATCGGAGGTGCGACGGGGAAGGACAATAAACTAAACACACACACACACGAAAAAAATACCGACAGATGGCAGGGGAAGGCCCCAAATCTAGCAGTTGATTCACAAGGAGTTGTAAAATTGTTCGGTTCGAATGTATAAGCCTTTTATACTGCCGCGAGACAGACAAAGTTGTGGGTGCGTGCTCTGTAGACGGCGCTCTCCGTCACCTGGCGCACGCGAACGCGCGATCGACGCGGGCTTCCAGCCCGTGCCGACCACACGCCTTCCACGTGAGCCACAGCTTGAGGGCGTCGTCCCTCCTGCCGCACTGCACGGACTTGTCCCCGGGGTCGTGCGCAGAGTCGTAGCACTTGTCCGTCTGGAAGAGGTACGAGGCACTGGCCGAGTGGCAGGACCGCAGCAGTCCCTGTAAAAGGCGGTGGGGGCGGGGAGGGGGGGGTTAGCCGTGGACCCAGGGGATCCCAGGATTAGCAAATTGACGGAGGAAGAAAATTCCAGAGTGCTCAGACCGACGATAAAACGGTGAACCTTTCCATTATTGATTGTGTGTCGTACACCCGCCACCATCCGGCACAGCCACAGAATACAAGTTGTCGCGTGAAAAAAAGCATTCTTATTTTAATTTAACAGGTACGCTGCTTCAGCACGCGGCTGGGGGATGTTGCAGAGCAATCCACGCACATTTTACAATTTGGTACGGACGTTTCACTGGTGGCTATAACCAGCATCATCAGGCGATGTCCATAACTGTGAAAATCTCCTCCAGTCTTGCGCCTTAAATAGGGAGTGTGATGCCATCAATGTGCCCCCACAGGAAAGTATCAGGCAGTTATTTAGAGAGGTTAATGTATTCACGAATTACAATTTTACGTTAGATTATAATACTGTAAATTGTAACATGTGTTAATATACAGGCATATACGTATCTTGGGATTAGGGTTAGCCATAAGTTATTATACATACTAATTGGTCAGTATTGTTAAAATACTGATTTTTATTTTTTGATTTAAAGCTTTCGTGACTGCAGTAATTCATATTCTTAGTTTTTTCGGTAAAGTCACGTTGAAGAGAAACAACAAAATAACAAAATATATATAAAACAATAAAAAATTCTCACGACGTTTCGACCATAACTCAAACGGTCATCATCAGGTGTGTCGGTTTGCATAAATTTATTTTGAAAACGGCATATTTATTTATATATATAAAAATAACGTTTGCGTCACGCGCAACGATGGCAGTTTGCCAGGACTAGTCCATCTATTTTTTGAAAAGAGGAGGGGGGAGACGAAATTTGTTTTTATGTATGCTGTCTGAAAGGCACTGTAAGCGTGAACAATCAATCAAGAACTGAAATGATTTATCAAATCTTTCCAATGATTGCTAAGATAGAATCCATCTTCTCGGTTGAAATTGTCTCTGTGTTTGTATATGTGGATAGCCTCATGAACGAATCTCTCATGGAAGCCAGATGGCTTACAAAGAACCTCCGTCTTGGAAAAGTCAATGGCATGTGAGCCTACTGAATTAGAACAATGATCTGCTACGGCCGAGGTGTTGGTCCTACCGTGTTTAAGGTCTGCTTTATGTTCACGAATGCGGTCCGAGATATGGCGTTTGGTTTCTCCAATGTAACTACTACCACAGAGGCAACTTAGTTTGTAGACACCAGGGTATTGTATGTCCGGAATCACATCTTTTACAGACGGAACCAGATCACGGATTTTATGTAATGTGTTGAAACGGACCTGGATCTTGTGTTTATTCAAGATTTTGGAGATCTTTTTTGTGATCCCAGCAATGTAGGGTAAAGTGATGGTTTTGAAAGGCTCCTCAAGAGGGTTCTTCTTCATGGTTTGAGTGATAGCTTTGCGGATTGTATAGTCGGAGTAACCATTAGCCCTAAGAGCTTGGTGTACGTGCTTGAGTTCACTGCTTATGTGTTCCTGGTCGGATATGCATTGGGCTCTATGATACAGAGTCTTGATGAGAGAATTCTTCTGTGATGGATGGTGGTGGGAATCCGGTTTCAGATAAGCATCCGTATGGGTAGCTTTCCTGTAGACAGAGTGGCTCATTGAACCATCAGGTCTCTTTTTAATTAGGACATCCAAAAAAGGTATCTTGCCATCTATTTCGACTTCCATGGTAAATCTGATGGCTGGGTGTATGGAATTGATGTGGTCGAAGAATTTGTCTAGAGCAGGCCGGCCATGTGGCCAGATGACAAAAGTGTCATCCACGTACCTCTTCCATAAGGTTGGGCGCAGAGTGGCAGTCTGGATGGCGTCAGTCTCAAATTTCTCCATGAAAATGTTAGCTATAACTGGAGAAAGGGGGGAGCCCATTGGGGTGCCCTCAGTTTGTTTGTAGAAAGTTCCATTCCAAGTGAAGTATGTATTGGTTAAACAGTGTCTCACCAGGGGGGGTACCTCAGTGTTTAGTCCTTGATGAACCAAGTCTTCAATGATTGCAATGGTGTCAGGTACAGGAACCTTGGTGAATAAGGAAACTACATCAAAACTGACAAGCAGGTCGTCTGGGGACAGGGAAATACCCTTGATTGTTGATACCAGGTGAGTAGAATTTTGTACCGCAGAGGTGGTCTTTCCAGTGAAAGGACGCAGGATTTCAGACAAAAAACGAGCTAGTTTGTAGGTGGGGGAGCTGATAGTAGAGACTATGGGACGAAGAGGTGTATCAACTTTATGTATTTTTGGTAAGCCGTATAATCTTGGTGGCCTGGCAGCAGAAGGTTTCAACGAAAACTGTTTAGATTGATCAATTAATGCGGTTGAATCAGAAATTATTTTGTTGGTTTGTGTGACGAGGCTGTTGGTGGGATCTCTTTTTATTTTTGTATAACTACCATCGTCGAGTAATTCTTTAATTTTGTTGTTGTATTCTATTTTATCCATGATAACAGTAGCATTGCCTTTATCAGCTGAGAGAACTACAATATCATTCCTCTTTTTTAATTTATATAATTCAAAACGCTCATCTTTGCTGAGGTTGCTAGCTGGCATCTTAGCGTTTTTGAGGGTTGCAGCGATTTCAGATCTTGCTACGTCTGCAGCGATGTGACCCAGGCCCCTGAGAGCAACGTCTACTTGGGCAATTATATCATTAACTGGTATGTGTTTAGGTGTGACTGCAAAGTTTAGACCTTTAGCTAAAACGGATTTCAGACCATCGGAAATAGAACTGTTACTGCGATTAATTACGACTTTATTAACGTCTAACTTTTTGGTGTGTGGGTCCGGTCTTTTGTTTAAGAGGAGGTTAAATTTGGAAATCAGGTTTTCCTTACATTTGGTCGACATAGTAGCAGCTGAAGAGGCAGTCATATTGTCTACATGTTCCCAATCCGATGTGGACATTATTGCCGTCAATGATAAGTGTGATTTGTAGAGTGTCTTGTCTAACTGATCTAGTTCTGTGCGTATAAGTCTGATTTTTTCTGAGATAAGAGCTAAGCTAGTTTTGAAAAGAATTCGTTTCGCATTAGAAGAAGTTACAGTAGCAGAGGTGAGTGTAAATGCGATTGGTATTACCCCAGAGTCGCGGCATCTCTTCAGGAAGGTGAGAGACTCGATCAGCTGAGCTTTCTTATCCCGGAGTTTGTTGAAAGATCTTAAAGTTATGTGAAAACCCTCCCCGTAGAGGCGATTAAATTTTGATTTAAAGCTTTCGTGACTGCAGTAATTCATATTCTTAGTTTTTTCGGTAAAGTCACGTTGAAGAGAAACAACAAAATAACAAAATATATATAAAACAATAAAAAATTCTCACGACGTTTCGACCATAACTCAAACGGTCATCATCAGGTGTGTCGGTTTGCATAAATTTATTTTGAAAACGGCATATTTATTTATATATATAAAAATAACGTTTGCGTCACGCGCAACGATGGCAGTTTGCCAGGACTAGTCCATCTATTTTTTGAAAAGAGGAGGGGGGAGACGAAATTTGTTTTTATGTATGCTGTCTGAAAGGCACTGTAAGCGTGAACAATCAATCAAGAACTGAAATGATTTATCAAATCTTTCCAATGATTGCTAAGATAGAATCCATCTTCTCGGTTGAAATTGTCTCTGTGTTTGTATATGTGGATAGCCTCATGAACGAATCTCTCATGGAAGCCAGATGGCTTACAAAGAACCTCCGTCTTGGAAAAGTCAATGGCATGTGAGCCTACTGAATTAGAACAATGATCTGCTACGGCCGAGGTGTTGGTCCTACCGTGTTTAAGGTCTGCTTTATGTTCACGAATGCGGTCCGAGATATGGCGTTTGGTTTCTCCAATGTAACTACTACCACAGAGGCAACTTAGTTTGTAGACACCAGGGTATTGTATGTCCGGAATCACATCTTTTACAGACGGAACCAGATCACGGATTTTATGTAATGTGTTGAAACGGACCTGGATCTTGTGTTTATTCAAGATTTTGGAGATCTTTTTTGTGATCCCAGCAATGTAGGGTAAAGTGATGGTTTTGAAAGGCTCCTCAAGAGGGTTCTTCTTCATGGTTTGAGTGATAGCTTTGCGGATTGTATAGTCGGAGTAACCATTAGCCCTAAGAGCTTGGTGTACGTGCTTGAGTTCACTGCTTATGTGTTCCTGGTCGGATATGCATTGGGCTCTATGATACAGAGTCTTGATGAGAGAATTCTTCTGTGATGGATGGTGGTGGGAATCCGGTTTCAGATAAGCATCCGTATGGGTAGCTTTCCTGTAGACAGAGTGGCTCATTGAACCATCAGGTCTCTTTTTAATTAGGACATCCAAAAAAGGTATCTTGCCATCTATTTCGACTTCCATGGTAAATCTGATGGCTGGGTGTATGGAATTGATGTGGTCGAAGAATTTGTCTAGAGCAGGCCGGCCATGTGGCCAGATGACAAAAGTGTCATCCACGTACCTCTTCCATAAGGTTGGGCGCAGAGTGGCAGTCTGGATGGCGTCAGTCTCAAATTTCTCCATGAAAATGTTAGCTATAACTGGAGACACACCTGATGATGACCGTTTGAGTTATGGTCGAAACGTCGTGAGAATTTTTTATTGTTTTATATATATTTTGTTATTTTGTTGTTTCTCTTCAACGTGACTTTACCGAAAAAACTAAGAATATGAATTACTGCAGTCACGAAAGCTTTAAATCAAAATTTAATCGCCTCTACGGGGAGGGTTTTCACATAACTTTAAGATCTTTCAACAAACTCCGGGATAAGAAAGCTCAGCTGATCGAGTCTCTCACCTTCCTGAAGAGATGCCGCGACTCTGGGGTAATACCAATCGCATTTACACTCACCTCTGCTACTGTAACTTCTTCTAATGCGAAACGAATTCTTTTCAAAACTAGCTTAGCTCTTATCTCAGAAAAAATCAGACTTATACGCACAGAACTAGATCAGTTAGACAAGACACTCTACAAATCACACTTATCATTGACGGCAATAATGTCCACATCGGATTGGGAACATGTAGACAATATGACTGCCTCTTCAGCTGCTACTATGTCGACCAAATGTAAGGAAAACCTGATTTCCAAATTTAACCTCCTCTTAAACAAAAGACCGGACCCACACACCAAAAAGTTAGACGTTAATAAAGTCGTAATTAATCGCAGTAACAGTTCTATTTCCGATGGTCTGAAATCCGTTTTAGCTAAAGGTCTAAACTTTGCAGTCACACCTAAACACATACCAGTTAATGATATAATTGCCCAAGTAGACGTTGCTCTCAGGGGCCTGGGTCACATCGCTGCAGACGTAGCAAGATCTGAAATCGCTGCAACCCTCAAAAACGCTAAGATGCCAGCTAGCAACCTCAGCAAAGATGAGCGTTTTGAATTATATAAATTAAAAAAGAGGAATGATATTGTAGTTCTCTCAGCTGATAAAGGCAATGCTACTGTTATCATGGATAAAATAGAATACAACAACAAAATTAAAGAATTACTCGACGATGGTAGTTATACAAAAATAAAAAGAGATCCCACCAACAGCCTCGTCACACAAACCAACAAAATAATTTCTGATTCAACCGCATTAATTGATCAATCTAAACAGTTTTCGTTGAAACCTTCTGCTGCCAGGCCACCAAGATTATACGGCTTACCAAAAATACATAAAGTTGATACACCTCTTCGTCCCATAGTCTCTACTATCAGCTCCCCCACCTACAAACTAGCTCGTTTTTTGTCTGAAATCCTGCGTCCTTTCACTGGAAAGACCACCTCTGCGGTACAAAATTCTACTCACCTGGTATCAACAATCAAGGGTATTTCCCTGTCCCCAGACGACCTGCTTGTCAGTTTTGATGTAGTTTCCTTATTCACCAAGGTTCCTGTACCTGACACCATTGCAATCATTGAAGACTTGGTTCATCAAGGACTAAACACTGAGGTACCCCCCCTGGTGAGACACTGTTTAACCAATACATACTTCACTTGGAATGGAACTTTCTACAAACAAACTGAGGGCACCCCAATGGGCTCCCCCCTTTCTCCAGTTATAGCTAACATTTTCATGGAGAAATTTGAGACTGACGCCATCCAGACTGCCACTCTGCGCCCAACCTTATGGAAGAGGTACGTGGATGACACTTTTGTCATCTGGCCACATGGCCGGCCTGCTCTAGACAAATTCTTCGACCACATCAATTCCATACACCCAGCCATCAGATTTACCATGGAAGTCGAAATAGATGGCAAGATACCTTTTTTGGATGTCCTAATTAAAAAGAGACCTGATGGTTCAATGAGCCACTCTGTCTACAGGAAAGCTACCCATACGGATGCTTATCTGAAACCGGATTCCCACCACCATCCATCACAGAAGAATTCTCTCATCAAGACTCTGTATCATAGAGCCCAATGCATATCCGACCAGGAACACATAAGCAGTGAACTCAAGCACGTACACCAAGCTCTTAGGGCTAATGGTTACTCCGACTATACAATCCGCAAAGCTATCACTCAAACCATGAAGAAGAACCCTCTTGAGGAGCCTTTCAAAACCATCACTTTACCCTACATTGCTGGGATCACAAAAAAGATCTCCAAAATCTTGAATAAACACAAGATCCAGGTCCGTTTCAACACATTACATAAAATCCGTGATCTGGTTCCGTCTGTAAAAGATGTGATTCCGGACATACAATACCCTGGTGTCTACAAACTAAGTTGCCTCTGTGGTAGTAGTTACATTGGAGAAACCAAACGCCATATCTCGGACCGCATTCGTGAACATAAAGCAGACCTTAAACACGGTAGGACCAACACCTCGGCCGTAGCAGATCATTGTTCTAATTCAGTAGGCTCACATGCCATTGACTTTTCCAAGACGGAGGTTCTTTGTAAGCCATCTGGCTTCCATGAGAGATTCGTTCATGAGGCTATCCACATATACAAACACAGAGACAATTTCAACCGAGAAGATGGATTCTATCTTAGCAATCATTGGAAAGATTTGATAAATCATTTCAGTTCTTGATTGATTGTTCACGCTTACAGTGCCTTTCAGACAGCATACATAAAAACAAATTTCGTCTCCCCCCTCCTCTTTTCAAAAAATAGATGGACTAGTCCTGGCAAACTGCCATCGTTGCGCGTGACGCAAACGTTATTTTTATATATATAAATAAATATGCCGTTTTCAAAATAAATTTATGCAAACCGACACACCTGATGATGACCGTTTGAGTTATGGTCGAAACGTCGTGAGAATTTTTTATTGTTTTATATATATTTTGTTATTTTGTTGTTTCTCTTCAACGTGACTTTACCGAAAAAACTAAGAATACTGATTTTTAGTTTCGATCAATGTAAATGCACTCGTTTAAGGTCGTCATGTGGCTATTTAACGATGCATTTCTCAGCCGCATTCAGCCTAGAAGCTCTCAGCTTGGTTTATATTATTGTTGTCAATTTCAATCGATTCATCATAATCAATGGAATGTCCTTGTTGGCAGGCATGTTCCGCAACTGTCTTGGTGAGTATTTGATGTTCCTTTGGTGTTCTTTTAATCTTGTGCTGACATTTCATCCCATCCCAATGGCCCAATGTAGTAATTTGCCACGCGTGCTACGCCAAAGTCATACACACACACACCCTCATTCATAGTCATTACATGACTGGGATTTGGCGCAGTGGTTAGTGCACTGTGCCACAAACTCGGTGACCCTAATTTGATTCCTAGCCATGGCAACATCAGTGGCGAATTAAATCCGAATCGGTCCTGCGCCTCTCCTAGATTGGCTCAGCCTCAAACGAGTACCTGCTGCGGTGTGTAAACTTCGCCACTGGGGAGGCAAAGGTGGCCTTGCGTGGTGCTGGCCACCCACCCCCTCGTGTACCGTGCCAACCGTTAAAGGTGCTCGCTAACAGCACTTGCCCCAAACTCTGTAAAGGATATACGGGTGCAACTTTCACTTTGTTGTATTTAACTACGTCGTGTGTGCTGTGCTTCGTCTCAATCTCCGTGCTGCGGTTCTGTGTGTGTGGCTCGCTTCTCGCACACAGCTGGAGACAGGGGATGGAGCTGCGGACTGGAGCTCACGGTGTCATCGCGAAGCAGCAGCGCGCAGCACTGCAGTCCGGACATGAGCATCTTGTGCGGGTTCCACGCCACCGAGTCCACCCTGCATGCACAGCGGCGCAAGATTCAATCAGCTGCTAACCTTAGCCCTAAAACCATAGTCATGAGCCTAGCTCTAAACCTTAAACCATAGCCCAAGTATAGCTTTGAAGCTAGCTATAAAATTACGGTGGCGAGATGTCAACTACCTCGCCTGGTACACAGGAGGTCGTGGTTTTCGATCCCGACCCTGACGCCTGTTGTATATTTGGAGTTTTTTTGTGTTGCCCCCGTGGTCGCGTGGACTTTTGCCAGGGTCCCCCGGGTTTTCCCTCCATATTTAGAAACGTGCGTTGAGAGTATTTGGCTGCTATAAATGCCCACGTGCTACAGCCACTTTGTTGAGCTGTCATTTACGATAGCCAGGTCACTTCTGAAAAAGAGCTATATAGCTCAGTGGTCCTTACCTGGTAAAATTAAATATTTTAAATAGTTTTTAGTTGATACCCCATGCCTATCCCTAACCCATAGCCCAAGTCTAACGCTAATTCGAGATATAATCCAAGCCATCACCCTATTATTTTAGCTCTCAAGCTAGTACAGCAAGAGCTCTGCTATCCGCCACTTCACCGTCCGGAATGTTGCACTTGCTGGCATCTGTCATAGACGGCATGTATCCAGATACAACAAAAAAATCCGCCAATTCAACTGGCATCTCATAAGAGATGCGTTGCTAGCGGGAGCTTCGGGGACACTGCTGACGAGTTGGTGGCAGCAGCGTGCCCCATGTGTGTGCAATTGTGGTTAACTCATTGCCCCTTCCGACAAGTAAGCTAGCATCAGGAGTCAATGTAAGTGAATATATATAAAAAAAGTGTTTTTTTTATTTCCTTTATTTTATGTTTTTTTTTACGATACACCATTTTTTTTACAGTGTTACATGCAAATGTACAGTATTTCTTCTTAATTATGCGTTTAACAACGCTTCCCTTTTTGTAGATCCGTAACACGTTTCTTACCACTGACCGTACGGGCATTTAAATACGGTGCGTTACTCTGTTCCGACTTACGAACCGTTCAACTTACGAACGGGCTCTCAGGAATCAATTGTCTTCGTAAGCCGAGGACTGCCCGTAACTGTACTTTAAAGCTGTTCCACTGCCTCTCTACAATCGACTTGGAATGCTCTACAGTACTACAATTGACTGGTGTGTTCGTCTGCAAATGAGAATATTATTATTTTTTTCAATATCATAGTTTAAATGTAGGCTTCGTTGCTTTCTTGGAAATGTACTTGGAAAATTCAGTGAACCCATTACAGTAAGATCCCTCTTAACGAGCACCCCTGTTAACGACGGGCATCCATGGAGGCGAATGTGTAGTGTATAGTGTAGTGTATAGTGTAGTATATAGTGTAGTATATAGTAGTGTAGTGTATAGTAGTGTAGTGTATAGTAGTGTGTAGTGTATAGTAGTGTATAGTGTAGTATATAGTAGTGTAGTGTATAGTGTAGTGTATAGTGTAGTGTATAGTAGTGTAGTGTTTAGTGTAGTGTATAGTGTAGTGTATAGGGTAGTGTATAGTGTAGTGTATAGTAGTGTAGTGTATAGTTGTGTAGAGTATAGTAGTGTAGAGTATAATAGTGCAGTATATAGTGTATAGTAGTGTAGTGTATAGTGTAGTATATAGTAGTGTAGTGTATAGTAGTGTAGTGTATAGTAGCGCAGTGTATAGTGTAGTGTATAGTTGTGTAGAGTATAGTAGTGTAGTGTATAGTTGTGTAGAGTATAGTAGTGTAAAGTATAGTAGTGCAGTATATAGTGTATAGTAGTGTAGTGTATAGTGTAGTATATAGTAGTGTAGTGTATAGTAGTGTAGTGTATAGTAGCGCAGTGTATAGTAGTGTATAGTTGTGTAGAGTATAGTAGTGTAGTGTATAGTAGTGTAGTGTTTAGTAGTGCAGTATATAGTGTAGTGTATAGTGTAGTGTATAGTGTAGTGTATAGTAGTGTAGTGTATAGTGTAGTGTATAGTGTAGTGTATAGTAGTGTAGTGTATAGTGTAGTGTATAGTGTAGTGTATAGTGTAGTGTATAGTAGTGTAGTGCATAGTGTAGTGTATAGTAGTGTATAGTTGTGTAGAGTATAGTAGTGTAGAGTATAGTAGTGCAGTATATAGTGTAGTGTATAGTAGTGTAGTGTATAGTGTAGTGTATAGTGTAGTGTATAGTAGTGTGGTGTATAGTGTAGTGTATCAGAGAACCCCTCTTAACAAGCACCCCTGTTAACGACGGGCTGTTGTAGTTACAGAAAATATCAATTAATGCATTGATTAACCATGTTTATTTCAATACTATGTATTTATAATGTTGGTAGTATATTTATGTATTAATATATATTTTTTAATATCATAAAGTAGGTTCTTTGGGTGAAAAAGGATAACTTTCGATGCTATCGGAATGAAAAAAACCTTTAAACATATATTTCCTCTCCTCGTTTAACGATCAAATCACTTAACGACCAGTTTCGTGGAACCAATCGCCATCATCTACCGGAGTATAACTCTCGATAACCGAGAGTACACACACACTGAGAGTACACACACACACTGAGAGTACACACACACTGAGAGTACACACACACACACACTGAGAGTACACACACTGAGAGTACACACACACACTGAGAGTACACACACACAGAGTACACACACTGAGAGTACACACACTCACACTGAGAGTACACACACACACTGAGAGTACACACACACAGAGTACACACACTGAGAGTACACACACTGAGAGTACACACTCACACTGAGAGTACACACACACACTGAGAGTACACACACACAGAGTACACACACTGAGAGTACACACACTGAGAGTACACACACACACAGAGTACACACACTGAGAGTACACACACACAGAGTACACACACTGAGAGTACACACACACACTGAGAGTACACACACTGAGAGTACACACACACACTGAGAGTACACACACTGAGAGTACACACACTGAGAGTACACACACACACTGAGAGTACACACACACACACTGAGAGTACACACACACACTGAGAGTACACACACACACTGAGAGTACACACACACACACTGAGAGTACACACACACACTGAGAGTACACACACACACTGAGAGTACACACACACACACACTGAGAGTACACACACTGAGAGTACACACACTGAGAGTACACACACACACACACAGAGTACACACACTGAGAGTACACACACACTGAGAGTACACACACACACTGAGAGTACACACACTGAGAGTACACACACACAGAGTACACACACAGAGTACACACACACAGAGTACACACACTGAGAGTACACACACTGAGAGTACACACACACACTGAGTACACACACACACTGAGAGTACACACACACACACACAGAGTACACACACACAGAGTACACACACTGAGAGTACACACACACAGAGTACACACACTGAGAGTACACACACTCACTGAAAGTACACACACACACAGAGTACACACACTGAGAGTACACACACACACTGAGAGTACACACACTGAGAGTACACACACACTGAGAGTACACACACACACACAGAGTACACACACACAGAGTACACACACTGAGAGTACACACACACTGAGAGTACACACACACACAGAGTACACACACTGAGAGTACACACACTCAGAGTACACACACACACACTGAGAGTACACACACACTGAGAGTACACACACACAGAGTACACACACTGAGAGTACACACACTCAGAGTACACACACACACAGAGTACACACACTGAGAGTACACACACACACAGAGTACACACACTGAGAGTACACACACACACACACTGAGAGTATACACACACACACACTGAGAGTACACACACACTGAGAGTACACACACACACTGAGAGTACACACACTGAGAGTACACACACACACACAGAGTACACACACACACAGAGTACACACACACAGAGTACACACACTGAGAGTACACACACTCACACACACTGAGAGTACACACACACACTGAGAGTACACACACTCACACACACAGTACACACACTGAGAGTACACACACACACACAGTACACACACACACAGAGTACACACACACAGAGTACACACACACAGAGTACACACACTGAGAGTACACACACTCACCTGTGTATACCGTCGAGCAGGTGGCGGTGTCGATGGGAGAGCAGCGCACTCCCTCCCCACGACGCCTGCCCGGGGCATTGGGCAGGGCGAGACACGGGGAGGGGGACACGGGGGGAGACACGGGGAGGGGGACACGGGGAGGGGGACACGGGGAGGGGGACACGGGGGGAGACACGGGGAGGGAGGGAGACACACGGGGAGGGAGACACGGGGAGGGAGGGAGACACACGGGGAGGGAGACACACGGAGAGGGAGACACGGGGAGGGAGACACGGGGAGGGAGGGAGACACACGGGGAGGGAGGGAGAGACACGGGGAGGGAGACACACGGGGAGGGAGACGCACGGGGAGGGGGACACGGGGAGGGAGGGAGAGACACGGGGAGGGAGACACACGGGGAGGGAGACACACGGGGAGGGAGACACACGGGGAGGGAGACACGGGGAGGGGGACACACGGGGAGGGGGACACGGGGAGGGAGGGAGAGACACGGGGAGGGAGGGAGAGACACGGGGAGGGAGACACACGGGGAGGGAGACACGGGGAGGGGGACACGGGGAGGGAGGGAGACACACGGGGAGGGCGACACGGGGAGGGAGAGAGACACACGGGGAGGGAGACACATGGACAGAGAGACACGGGGAGGGAGGAAGACACAGAGAGAGAGAGAGAGACATGGGGAGAGAGACACGGGGAGGGAGGGACATCCACGGGGAGGGAGACACGGGGAGGGTTCTGAGCACAGTCTGACAACCAATGCACCACCGCTCACCTCAAACATATCTGGAGGGTTTATTTGAACCGGGTCTGGCGCAGCGATCCAGACTATAACAATAAAGCAATTTATATCGAGTGCATATTGACAAAACGACAGGCGAACAACTAAATTGCAACTCCGATGTATGGAGCCAGGTTCAGGATTCCTCGTACGCCCGATCGAACAGATGTACAGAAGAGCCTGCAACAGTCTCCTGAGAATGGGGGTGGATTGAATGCTGCTTAAAATGTGCCGGCTCATACCCCTACATCCACTCAACCAGAAATAACGGACTCTCCTTCGGCAGAATCCGATGTCTGTATCACATTCATGACGATACATTTCAATCAACTACTCCCAACTCGCACATCCTTTGGACGCGACCATCCATGCGTCCGTCCCTTCCCTCCAGCCAGCAAAACCTTTTTGAAAATAATACAGCCTGACTTCATTTGCCACATTCCATTCAGTTGTCAGGAGGGAGGGTTCACGTCCGAGTGTGGTTGGCGGGGTCCGGCAAGGGAAGAGGATAGAGGGGGCCGGTAGTGGTCAAGCATGGGGGGGGGGGCGGGGAGGGAGTGGACATGCCCCCCCCCCCCACAATGAGGCGTTTGCTCTCACGTCCACGTGCAGCCACAGGCCCCAGCGCTCACACATGTCGGCCACTGCGACGATCGGGTCGAACGCCCCCAGCACCGTCGTGCCAGCGGTGAGCACCACCATGAAGGGTACAGCACCCTGCACGATTGGGGTGGGCGGGGGGGGGCATGGGGAGAAAGGGGGGGGCCCGAGTCACCTTCACACAGTCGCGCGTCTGCGTGTCACTGGCTGCCGTGCCCGGTGGTGACAGGCCCTGCACAGTCTCTCGAGACCGTGTGGCTTAATTTTAGGTCACTGGGCTATTTGTAATGTTCGTGAGCGTTTGCTTTTTTTAATCTCCTGTTTCTCTCTGTGAAATGTAAAAACAAAGCTGTTATTACATTATTTGTACTGGAAGGTTGTCGGGGAAGCAAGTAAGAAATGTTTTATTTAACGTTTTTCCACAATTTTATTCTATTTGTGCGAATTTGTGATGTTCGATAGACGATTGGTAGATGATAAGATGATGATCGATGATCTGTAGATGATGAAATTTCCATTTGAAATTCTTACATTGGACAGAGCACCACTTTGTGTCAGAGAATGGCTCCACCACAAGATAACGTCATATAAATACTTCTGAAGTCGATTCAGTCGGCCTCTTCGTCTGTTCGGGGCACATGCTTTGCATGGCCTGAAAAGAGTAATTATTCGCCTGTCAATCAGACGGATTTTTTTGTTGGTTAATTCTCAGCGCTGGAATCGGCCAAATGAAACGAAGCCAAACGGCTCACTGCATGGTTTAATCAGCAGCAACAGTCTCGAAGCCAGGATGCTCTGACGCGACCATTATGAGCCAGCCAAACCACCCGGTCAACTCCGACTTTTTGTGAAAGTGCGATGTCGTCTGAAGGAATCGCCCACCTCAGCCTTCGCCTCCTCGACTTTCCTCTCCAGGTCTGATGGGATCATCTTTCCGCTGGGAAGGAAATGGACACGGGGTGTCAAACAGAGATCACTTGAGCCGCTGTGCTTGGAAAAGCTTGAGCGATGCTTACAGCTATGGTACATGGGGCGTCAGGGTAGCTAGATGTTAATTGTCTCGCCTGGAAAACAGAAGGTCGTAGGTTCGATCGTGACCCTGGTAACTGCATATTTGGAGTTTGCTTGTTCTCCCTGTGGTCACGTGGATATTTTTGTCCGGGTCTTACGGTTTTCCCCTCCACATTTAGTGTTCCCCTCCACGTTTTGAGTATTTGGCTGCAAGAAATTTCCACGTGATAAGCCACTTCGTTGAGCTACCATGTGTGGCCAGGTCGCTTCCGATTAGCACGGTTGGCTACGTACGATGCGAAATAAGTTCACCATATGTAAATTCTGAAAAAGAGCTATAAAGCTCAGTGGACCTCACCTGATGAAATAAAAAAAAATATTTTATAGTTTAGTTTAGATGTGAAATATGCCATAACCCACTCACTGGATAATACACTCTCACGGTTAGCTATTGTGGGCCCACATCAAGAGACTGCTACTACGAGAGATGTTCCACATCAGGTGGCAGCCCTGCCTCCCAACACTCCTCTTCTCCCCGCTTGACACCCGTGCAATTAATGAGAGGTGTTCAACCGCTGCGGGCGGGGGGGGGGGGGGTTATCCGGGGGTTTATATTTGAGAAGGGAATCCTGCTCACCGGTCGTCCACCGCCACCGACCTCACGTTGTCGGTGCCGATGCCAAGGAAGGCGGCCGCTTTCTGGATGGAGTAGTGAGCCTGGAGGCACAGAGACGCCAGATGACGCCTGGCTGTCTTGGCACGTGCTGTTAGTGAGGAGCACCTATGAAGGCCGGCACGGCACACGAAGGGGGTGGGTGGGCCAGCACCACGCCCGACCGCCTTCGTCTCCCCAATGGCGATGTTTACACACCGCATCAGGTCCTCATTTGAGGCTGAGTTGATCTAGGGAAGGCTCAGGACCAGTTCAGATAATCGGCACTGCTGTTGACTGTGAGTGGGTATTGAACCCGGGTCGCCGGGCTCGTAGTGCAGCGCGCTCACCGCTCCACTACCGCTCCCCACTTCACAAAGACAAAGATCCCCCGTGTAACCTTAACAGACTGTTGGGGCAAGTGCTGTTAGCGAGCACCTTTGAAGGCCGGCACGACACACGAGGGGGTGGGTGGCCAACACCACGCCCGACCGACTTTGTCTTCCCAGTGGTGATGTTTACTACACACCGCACCAGGCACTAATTTGAGGCTGAGTTGACTGAGTGGAGGTCCAGGACCGGTTCAAATAAATCGTCACTGGTGGTGGCCGTGAGCAGAAATCAAACCCGGATCACCGGGTTGGTAGCGCAGCGCGCTAACCGCTACACTACCGCTCCCCGCAGACACTCGCACGCAGGCGTCCACACGTATCGGACTCCCCTTAGGCGTGTATAGGTCACTCGATCAGGATCGATCGTTATGCCAGGAGCAAGGGCTTTTAATCACGCGTGAGAACCACGGCTATTATGAGTGGTACGGTGGTGCGGCGGCTGTTCTTGCGCCGCGCTCCGAACCCGGTGACCCGAGTTCGATTCCAGGACGCGGCTAACAATCGTGGCGGGTGACATCTGAACCGGTTGCCGGGAGCCTCTACCATCACCGGTCCGCACTGACCCGCGTGGTGAAGTATGGCCAAATAACCCACGTGACTGACACGGAGGGGGGAGGCCTCCATCCACGAGTGGATTAAGGACTGTAAATCATAAACAAATATATTAATTTATATTACTCGCAAATCTTACTCTAATGGTACCAATGACGAAACTAAATTGTCGTGGACAATCATTAGCATGGATAAAACCCTCACCGAGGCTCACGACGCTGTATTCAGGACATTGGGAAATTTGGTCAATTAATTTTCTTGTTTTTTTGTTTGGCCTCATGTGGGAGGAAACGGGAGTACACAGAAACAAAACCCAGCACACAAACAAAGCGTCTCACACTCACAGTTCCACACACCCCACAGCCCAGCTGCTTTCGCCTGTCTACATCGTGCACGCTCACTGCAATTAGTTTGTTTGTTTGTTTTTGCCAGAAACGCCTAGAGCTCAGTTCCTGAACGAGCTCCCGGCACGTGGAGGGAAACGTCGGACGTCGTTCCGAACGGCACGCGGCGTGACCCAAAAACGCATCGGAGCGCCACACTCCCCCTTGCACGATCCACCAAACCTCTCACCTCGAGAGAGCTGGACCACGCTGGGCGTACACCACCACCACCACCGCTACCACCGCCACCACCCAACTCGAGTAGTGGGGTCTGCGTGTCATCCCAGGGATGCTGGGAGATAGAAAAATTTCACCCTGGGTCTGGGTCCCCTTTGTGACCGGGGGAGGGGTGGGGTGGGGGGGGGTGGTCCGGGCCGGGCTGGGCACCCTCACCTCGCCCGAGGTGAAGAGGACGAGGCGAGGGAGTGCGCTCAGCCCCGCCGTCTTCACGCGCGGACACAGCCGGTAGCGGGCCACGTTCATCGCGCACATGTTCGACACGGAGCCTCCTGAGCAAAGCACAGGCGACGACGATGACGACGACAATGGCGATGGCGGTGGCGGAAAAAATAACGGTGATTTCAACTTGCTCCGCGGTGCCGCACGGCCATCGCTCGCCCTCTTAGAGAGAGAGAGAGGGAGGGAACGACTCGGAGACGCGAGGAGGAACCGCAGACGAGCGGAAAGGCAGCAGCAGCAGCCTACGCGGTGAGCTGGCACCAAATACGCACGAGAGCTCTGCCGTCCTCTGTGTGTCGAGATGCTATTTTGTCACATTAATGAATGTTTAACACGTGGGAGGGAATCGGAGCGCCCGGAGAAAAACCCACGCGTGCGAGGGGGCAGCGCTCTATCCCATGCGGACGGAACAGGTGGAAGTGCACTTCTGCTGTGCCGCCTTCTTCTGGCGAGACAGGGTACGCTTCTTCGACGCCCAAAGGATAGGAAGGGAGTTTCTCAGCATCTGTGTGTGATCCACCAACCCCCTTTCCTCCACAGTGTTGGATTACAGGCCACGTGCACCACCACCTCCTAGCGTGATGTTGTTGGTCTCGATGATGATGATGATGACGACGATGGGGAGTGAGTCTAAGCTGGCCTGATCTTTTCCCTCACATTTAGAGTCTGAAGAATAACTCCGGTTGGCGATAAGAAACTGACCTTACCACGACTTGCTGAATTACTCGATGCTCAAACTCCGAGGATTATCCACTCTCACAAAGATGTCTGGCGCGGCTTCAGCCCATTCTTCCCGACTCCTAGGCTCCTCTCTGAAGAAGAAGACCCTAATCCGCTGAAGTGTCAGCCTACGACCGGATTCGCCGGAATTACAAAGCACGCTTTTCTAATTTTGTTCGCATGCACCGTATTCAAAGCAAAAGTTGGCGGTGCGTCTTGTAACCCGGTAGCTGTGGCGTGCGTGCGGCCACAGCCGTGGAACTTAACTGACGCCCATCGTAAGTTTTGGGGCACTTCTTGCCATAGCCGGAGTTTCACTTCTATATTTGTGTGGTGGGGGGTGGGCAGGGGTCCGCTTTTTCCCTCACATTAGGAATCGTGGGTGCTTATAAATAATATTTTTAAAAAAATCTTTATTGTAAACTAAAAGGTGTCCAGTTTGGGAGGGGGCCTTGCCCCCCCATGACCCCCCCTAAAACTCCGCCAATGATTTTTACATATACAGTATATGTACTGACGAATGACCACCGTTACTGGCGTTCTTTATTCTGTGCTTCTACTCGACTGAGGATGTCATGTATAAGTAATCATACAGAGAGAGAGAGATACATATCTGTTTTTGTAAACGTAAATACCTACACGTGGCCTGTGGTGTCGGTGTTGGAGAGAGTGGAGGCCGCGTCTTACCCGGACAGAAGATTCCGTCTCCCGAGGTCCACCCGATCATCTTCCGCAACGTCCTCAGCACTTCCTCTTCCAGCAGCACCCCTACCGGGGCCACCTCGTACGTGTAGCTGCTCGCCACACAAGAGACACAGATCCCCCGCGCAGCCTTACAGACCGTTGGGGGAGGCAGGGGGGGGGCAAGTACCGTTTAGGCCAGCATCGCGAACACGCGGTGGCGAGATGTTAACTACCTCGCCTTCTATACAGGAGGTTGGGGGCTTGACCCCGACACTGACGCCTGCTCCATGTTTGGAGTGTGCATGGTCTTCATGCGGTTGCGTGGAATTGTCTCCGGGTCCGCCGGTATTCCCCTCCACATTTAGAACAACGTCACGCGTTGATGAGTATATTTGGCTGCTATAAATTTCCACGTGATATGCCATTTCGTTGAGTTATCATTTGCGATCGGCAGGTCACTTCTGAAAAAAGAGATTCATAGCGCAGTGGGTTCTTACCTGGCATAATAAAAATAGTTAAAAATAGGTTTATATACTCGGCACCACGCCGGGCTGCCTTTGCCTCCCCAGCGCTGATGCTCACGCGCAATTAAGGCAGAATCGACTCGGGGGTGGCCCTGACGTGGTTCAAATATCGCTCGCCACTGATGTCAGCCGTGGTCGGGAATCAAACTCCTCGGGTCAACGAGTTTGTAGTTTGGTGCCGCTAACCGCCGCAGCACCCCACCGCCGGACTCACACGCTGGCGTTGAGCGCCTCGGTAATCCAGCGAGCAGCCAGGGAGTGGTAGTCCAGGCCGGCGAACAGCTGATTGTAGAAGCGCGGGTGAACTGCGAGAGAGAGAGACGGTGACAAAGGCGAGGGGCTCTCGGTTATGTCGGACAAGCGGGTTAGTAAGGTCACTCAAGGTCAGTTGGGTCAGACTGATTACTGATCTGCTCTGATAAGTCTCCCACAATCTGGCCTTAGGTCTTCCCCTTGGTCGCCGGATTCGTCAAGACCCCAATATATAATAATGATGACAATAATACAATACAACCCCCTTCCACCTCCATCACCCTCCCATCATCTCCATCGTTCCCATGAACCCCCTTCCACTTCCATCACCCCCCCCCCCCTTCATCATCTCCACCATTCCCATCCACCAAGTGTTTTGTTATTCATCAAAACTGCGTTCAGTGAATGCTAATGTTGGCCAAGGCCACTGGGCGAGACACCGGCTGCTGGGACGGGCGATTGAGGCCCCCGGGCGCCCAGCGACCGGCGGCTTCATCGCCATTCAGCGGCAGTTCTGCTTCTCATTAATTTGAGAATTTACTTGACAATTTTTTTTTTACTTTCCAACAGCGCCCTTCTGTGTAATACGAAAGCACAACGCGACAAACAAAACAACAACAACAAAAGACTCTACACCCCCCCCCCCGGCCCACACCCCCGACCGCTTTGTGTGAATTATTATTTTTGTAAACCAGGACGTTGCGCGAAGCGATTCAATCGTGAGTCGGCGAGGTGATTATGAACTATGAATGGGGAGTTTGTTCTTCGTTAATTAAGCCAATGCACAAGGGGGGGGGGCGAGGCGGGGAGGGGGTGGGGGGCTCGATGAGTTCACGCTCTACTAACGCGAACATTCACTCCGTGTTCCACCGCCGCCACCGCCGTGACAAAAAGAAAAAACGAAAGCGCGCCAGGGACCAAGCAAGGCGGACAGCTCACCCCCCCCCCCAAGCCCCCAACCTCCCACCCCATCCTCCCCCCCCCCCAAAAACCCTGGCCTTCACCGAACGTGGTGTATAGCCAAATAACCCTCCGAACCAGCACGGCATTTGCAGGCCCTCGTCCAGGACTGTCAAAAGGGCTGCGCGTGTGTCCACGGCGGGTACACGGGCAGTGTGTGGCCTCTGTGTCTATACTTTGCATACGTACGCAACTGTACGGTGTGCAGACATGTTTGAGTCTAAAGGTGATCTGCAGAGAGTGGCATCCCCGGCACCTCGAGACAGCGTGAGTCCCGATATACAGACGCGAAGAGACCCACGTTGTCTCTGTAGGGAGAGGTGGCGAGAAGAGACGCAGCCGCGCGTACGCGTCCACGTGGGAACACACCGCGGTGCCTCTGCCTCTAGGTGTGCGTCAATCACTTCTGCTCATAGTTGACGTTGCGTGTCTCTGTGTTAGTGCACTGCGTTACAAACTCTTTCCCAGGCTCACCAACCCCCTCCCCCCCCCCCCCCGTGACCCACACGGCGTTGGGAGTCCTTCATCCAGCATTGGGGTTAAGAAAGGTGTGTGCATGGTAATCATTATGATTGCGTGTACAGAGATATAGGTGCGAGCACAGACTTGTCATCGTCCCCACGTGGGCTTTCTCATCCCCACCGTTGATGAACCCATCACCGCCATCACCGTCATCATCTCCATCAACCCACTGCACCTCTCACATCATCTCATCAACCTTCTCCACCACCTCTATCACTGCCATCATCATCATTCCCATAACATCCTCCACCTACATCACCCCCATCATCTCTATAATTCCCATCAACCCCCTTCATCACCCCACCAGCATCACCATAATTCCCATCAACCCCTCCACCTCCATCACCCCCCCCCCCGCCATCATCCTGCCTCGTGGAGGACCCTACCCACCACCTCGAGAATCGCGTTGCGCAACACGACTCCTATAAAATTCCACTCGGGACTCCGAGCGCCAAGGGCACGAGGCTCTAAAGGTCACGCGTCGCCTCATTTGGTCACGGGCATGGCAGTGCCGGGCTCCGTGTCAAGCGCAACGCTGCGCGGCGCCGGCTTGGTGCAGGGGTGCCACCCGCTCCCGGCTGCGATGTTTTATTGACGCTGAGCCCCCCAGTGACAGCTCCAACAACTGCCGAGGCTCCCGTGTGCTCGGACTTTACGGTGAGCCCAGAGCGAAACTCGCCGAGGCCTCAAGCTCCAAAGCTCTCGGCGAACTGAGCTCCGCGTGGTACGGGGTGGTGAGTGTGCGCGTGATTCTCACGCAGGTGACCACGACGATAATTGTCAAGACGCTTTGTTTCTTCTCACACAGCTTAAAGGTCGTGATCTCAGAGTGGCTTTCTCACTCCAGCGCTGTCCTCCAGACAGTCTCGTCCCCTTCACGTGATGAAGGCCGCTTGTGTTGTGGCCGAAACGTCGTGAGAATATTATTGTGTTATTTTATTTTATCAATTTATTATTTTATTCTCATTCTACGTGACTTTACTGAAAGAACCAAAGAAGATGAATCCTTGCAGTCACGTAAGCTTTACATCGAAATTTAAATCGAAAGATAATTAAGTAATCGATGTCTTCATGACAGCCTCGCTGAGTCTCCAGACTGTTCTTCTGTACACTTTTAAAAAAAATATATATCTCTGCTATGAAGAAGGACCATTGCCCCAAAACGGTGTATATTACGTGTTTCCTTTTGAGGGCAGTGTTGTTGACGAAATTGTTGTGGTTGCTGTTTGTGCTAAAGCTGCACTGCCAACAGATGATCCCTTACCTGGCTCGGGAGAATTGGGGGATTTGTTAACGCAAAAACTCCCATTGGCGGTGGCGTAGCTAACGAGTGTGCAGGCGGTGCAACTGCACTCCCACGAGCCGAGGGGGGCACAGACACCGGGCCAATAGGAGAGAGGAGATTGTACAGTTGATTTGTGGACCAGGCACATGCCACTGCACGCTAGAATGGAATTTTGCCCAAACATTTGCTCATGCAGTAAGCTCCAGAAAGGGAGACGTGTGTCTCATGGATGCTTTTCCTGTCTCGGATACATAAATCCACGCGTCTAATTTCATCCACGTACACACCCACATGGGCAATTAAGTATCGTGGCTCATGAAAACGAATGAATCGTTATTATGTAACGGGATTGAAATGAAGCTCGTGCGCCCTTTAGTTGTTGTACAACTTTGTATGCGTGACACCACCACGGGGAGGGCGAGTGGAGTCAAGGACGTAATGAACGGGCAAAGAGAAAGAGGGAATGCATGCCAGGACGAAAGTGCCCAAGACGGACAAAGCGGAAGGCTCCGCGCTAAGCTGAGCAACAGGAAAAAAGGAGGAGCGCCGACCGGGAAGACGAGGAGAAGGAATGACCGCGACAAGATGTCGTGGATGATGAGAGGCTGATGATGACGACGAGAGGGGAGGGAAGAGAGCGAGCGAGCAGAAGTGAGCTGCACAGCGGGCACAGCGGCTGTTTTCCCAGGGGGCGGTGGGCGAGAAGAGTGATTCAGAGTAGGGGTGGCCATACACGAGTCACGTGATTTACGGGAGGCTTGAGCTGATGACGAGATGGAGGAGAGCGCCCGGTTCCTCCGCTTCCGACACAAAACTGCCCGCCACCAAATTAATGAAGAGACCAAAGTTCGCTCAGTCTTCCACATTAAAGCGGAATATGCTTAGGTCCATCGGAGCACGTGCCTTCAAACGCCAATATTACCCAGCAGCAGCATCTTTTGAAACAAACTCTGGACCGGTTTTAGCATTGTGGTCTTATCAGCGGAGTCTGGCTCTCTAAACTCACACGGCTGTGCTGTGAGTGAGCACGTGGTAAAGAACGCCGCGTGCGACGTGATGACGTGAACACAGGCCAACGGGATGTCGATGGCGTGGTGGTATTTAGTGGTGGTGTTAGTGGTGGGGGCAAGTGCTGATTGGAGATGGCACAGATAGCGAGCCGTGTTATCGTTGTGGTTGTGTAGTTGGTGGCGTTGTGTTATTGTTGTGCTGTTTGTAGTGTTGTGCTGGTGTTGTCATTTTGGTCGCGTTGTCGGTGTTGTTGTCAGTGTTGTTGTTAGTGTTGTTGTCAGTGTTGTGAGTGTTGTTGTTATCAGTTTTGTTGTTGTCAGTTCTGTTGTCAGTGTTGTCAGTTTTGTTGTTGTCAGTGTTGTCAGTGTTGTTGTCAGTGTTGTTGTTATCAGTTTTATTATCAGTGTTGTTGTCGTCATTGTTGTTGTTATCAGTTTTATTGTTGTCAGTGTTGTTATCAGTTTTGTTGTTGTTGTTGTTGTCAGTGTTGTTGTTGTCAGTGTTGTTGTCGTCATTGTTGTTGTTGTTGTTATCAGTTTTATTGTTGTCAGTGTTGTTGTTGTTGTCAGTTTTGTTGTTGTCAGTGTTGTTGTTGTCAGTGTTGTCAGTGTTGTTGTTGTTGTCAGTGTTGTTGTTATCAGTTTTGTTGTTGTCAGTGTTGTTGTTGTTGTCAGTGTTGTCAGTGTTGTTGTTGTTGTCAGTGTTGTTGTTATCAGTTTTGTTGTTGTCAGTGTTGTTGTTGTCAGTGTTGTTCGTGTTATTGTTGTCAGTGTTGTTGTTATCAGTGTTGTTGTTGTCAGTGTTGTTGTTGTCAGTGTTGTTGTTATCAGTGTTGTTGTTGTCAGTGTTGTTGTTATCAGTGTTGTTGTTGTCAGTGTTGTTGTTGTAAGTGTTGTTGTTATCAGTGTTGTTGTTGTCAGTGTTGTTGTTGTCAGTGTTGTTATCAGTGTTGTTGTTCGTGTTGTTGTCGTCGTCTCGGACCTGTTTTGACGCTGTACGCGATGACGTCCCTGCAGCGCTGCAGCAGCTGCCGGTGGGGCTCTCCGCACTCCCCCAACTCCACGTCCAGCAGCGCGCGCAGCTCCGCGGGGTGGCGCCACTCACACACCTGGGCACGCGCACGCACGCACGCGCGCACGCGCACGCGAGCACGAGCGCACAAAGGCAAAGGTCCCCCGTGTAGCCTGGAACAGGCTGTTCGGGCAAGTGCTTTTTAGCACTTGCACCACCTATGAAGGTCCGGCACGGCACACGAGGGGGTGGGTGGCCAGCACCACGCACGGCCGCCTTTGTCTCCCCAAGTGGAGATGTTTATACAACGCACCAGGTACTCAATTGAGGCTGAGTCGACCTAGGGGGGAGGCCCAGGACCGGTTCAGGTAGTCGTCACTGGTGGTGGTCGTGATTGGAAATCGAACTCGGATTGCCGGGTTCGTGGCGCAACGCGCTAACATTTTCGCTGCCACACCCCATATACAAAGATCCCCCGTGTAGTCTTAACAGACTGTTGGGGCAAGTGCTGTTAGCGAGCACCACCTATACAGGCCGTCACGGCACACGAGGGGGTGAGTGGCCAGCATCACGCCCGACCGCCTTTGTCTCCCCAGTGGCGATGTTTTTACGCACCGCGCCAGGTACTCATTTGAGGCTGAGTCGACCTAGGGGAGGCCCAGGACGAATTCAGATACTCGTCACTAGTTTTAGCCGTGAGCGGGAATCGAGCTCGGGATCGCCGGGTTCGTAGCGCAGCGTAGCGCTAACCGCTCCACCACCGCTCCCCACATACACACAACACGACGCACAACGTAACTGACATTGGACAAACATCGTCATGCTTGGAATGAATCTGTACATTACTCGATTGGGATTACTCAACACATTGCAGCATCGCCCCCCCAGTGCAAAAACTTGGCAGTGCGCTCCTGAAAGCAGAGTTGGGGTTTCCATGGGCGAATAAGCACAGTCCAGTAAAAATAGAAACAAACAAAAATACGTACAGTATACACCAGGGGTGGGCAAATTTTTTGACTCACGGGCCACAATGGGAACAGTTGGATGGAGTGTTTGTGTGAACTAATATAAATGACATGTAAAAATCATTACATGAAAGGATTTGGCCTTTAACAGGTAGCAAAGCATTTTTTTGCAAGGCAAATTTAACAAATTGCACGAACGTGAACAATACAAAAACGTGTCGTAACTCCCGGTCAAAGTGCGCCATCTAATGGGGAAATGGGGGCATTACAGGAGAAAGGTAAAATTTAATTTAATAATAATATTTGGACAAGTTCGGCGGGCCGAATTAAAAAGCCCAACGGGCCGTATACGACCCGGGGCTGTACTTTGCCCATGTCTGGTATACACGAACACATGCTCATCATGTACGATACTAACCAACAAAGACAAAGATCCCCCGTTTAATACGCAGTAGGCTTTCGCGACCAATATCATCCATAATAGAGTTTTTTTTTTGGGTTAGATCGCGTAAATATATAAACGTGTCGTTAAACCCGCCACCACCCGACACAGCCAATTAGTGAGGTTTGTCACGTGAACAGAACGTGCCGATTCGTTACGAGTACAGCACGCCGGTTGTGTCTTGGACAGTAAATCCACAACATTTACACTCTGAGTACGACGTTTCGCCAGTAATTACAACTAGCATCATCAGGCGACAGCCAGACTTTGTGGAGAAATCTTCCTGTCTCGTTCCTTAAGGAGAGGGATAGATGTGATGACGTCACTTGCGAGCCCTTCATGTGCAAAGGCCAGAGGGGACGGGTGGGGGGTGTCAATGAATGGATATCAATTACAATGGGTAATGATCCCCCGTACAGCCTTAATAGACTGCTGGGGCAAGTGCCGTTAGCGAGCACCTATGAAGGCCAGAACAGCACACGAGGGGGTGGGTGGCCAGCACCACGCCCGGCCGCCTTTGTCTCCCCAGTGGCGATGTTTTTACGCACCGCACGAGGTACTCATTTGAGGCTGAGTCGACCTAGGGAAGGCCCAGGACCGGTTCAGATAATCGTCACTGGTGCGGTGGCCGTGAGCGGGAATTGAACTCGGGTCGCCGGATTTGCAGCGCAGCGCGCTAATCGCTATACTACCGCTCTCCACAAACACGCACACACATGCACACACACGAATACATCCGCTGGTCGAGATGAACAACGGAGTGACAGCCAAAGGAGTGGACGCGCTATTTGAGGACGCCCACAGCGGAGATGGAGCGACGGAATTGGCGCGCCTAGCAGGGGAGTCGGGGGGCACGTGGGGAAGGGGGGGGGCAGTACCTTCTCATTGACGTCTGTGCCCTTCACCACGGCTTCCTGGAAGATGATGGGGAACACATCCAGAAGGAACTTCTCGCCGGCGCGCGCGTCCAACAGGGGTCCGTTAATGGGGACCCCTTCCACGAGCACGGGGAACCCCGGCGAAGGGGACCCGGCTAGGAGCAGGGCGGTCGGAACACCGTTCTCCACGACCTCTGAGCTGCTGCTGTCGGTGGGTGCCGTGTCTGCCATTGCTGCGTGGAAGCCTGGTGGTCGAGACGGCGGATTGAGGAACTCTCCACCCAAACGATTGACCCCCAAACACGTTCCACCCGCTGTATTTGTAGACCTGGAGGTAATGTATTTTCATCATGTGCGTCTCATTACATAACGAGGGTTACTCTTGTCTGGAAAAATACAAACATCCACAGCCCGACTTATTTTGAGCTCTTTGCTGCGTTGGAAATGTTCTCGATGGAGAGGAGTGGACACGTGCGGCGGGGAGGACAAAAGCAGCGAAGAACAGACCTTGCATCTGGCACGCACAGGAGGGTCATAGGCTACGGACTCATCTTTCACTCGATATCTACGGAGAAGCTGCTGCTCGGCTGGTACGGAGTAGGGATTATCGGCGTGAGGCACTACTACCACTGGAACACAATGCACGCCTATCGATACCAATCCTATATCATTGGCTTGACGGATTGTGGCTGGGTGCCAAAAAAGGCACGCCGCGGTGTAGAGATGTCAACTGCCTCGCCTGGTACGCAGGAGGTCGTGGGTTCGATCCCAAATCCGACGCCTGCTGTTGTATATGTGGAGTTTGCGGTGTCTCTCTCCCCGTGGTCGCGTGCATTTTTTTCCCCGGGTCCTCCGGTTTTTTTCCTCCACGTTTCGAATCGACGCGCGTTTAAGAGTATTTGGCTGCTATACATTTCCACGCGATAAGCCACTTCTCTGAGCTATGATTTGTGGACAGGCCGTTTCTGAAAAAGAGCTATATAGCTCAGTGGGCCTTCCCTAGTAAAATAAAAATAAATACTTGTTTAAATAGTTAAATACTTTCCCGGGACAGCGTTCCGAATTGTTCCGGCTGAAATTAAGCACCGGTCAAAGCCACGAAGATAAAATTTAACGAGGATTAAAAAAAACAACCCTGCGGAGATGAGAGCATTTCTCTCCGACGGCATCCGAAAAGCAACGGATCAAAATTTCCAACTTAACGTGGCAACGTTGCGGTCGCCCGGCGTGGCGTTCACAAATGGCCTGAGGCTACAGGGCAGCAACCTTGAGGCCCACTGACACCTTGAACAAAAGAACGGTGCGGCCGACAGCGTCGGCGGCAAGAAGGGAGGCCAAGAAAGGCGTCTGCCGACAGGACCACCACATTTGCCTGGCGTCGAGATTCAGAGGATATGCCAACCCTAACGGCTGCCCTCCGGCTCAACCCACCTGGTCGTGGTCCCACGAGACGTGGTGGCTGTTGGATTGCTCGACCCTGGATCGCCGTAAGCGCTGGGCCATGACCAACGCGTCAACACCCCCCCCCCCCGTCGCAACCTATGTAAGTAGTCCGTGATATGTGAAGCATCGGGTCAAGAGTCTTAAACCCAGGGACCCTCTGTGCGAGGGATACCACCGATAGATGCGGCTGAGACTTTGCTTGGATAAATGGCCCTGGTAGGCGCTCGTACAATGAATCTCCTTTCCATTAAAGACCCCTCCTCCCCTCCCCAATCCGCTCTGTGGGGTTGGGGTTTGGGTTCGGGTGGCGAGGGGTGGGCAGGACCCATTCCGAACCTTCTGGGCCCTGCGTCCAGCTGCCTCGCTTTCAGCTGCTGTGACATTTCGACTGCAATTCCCGCCTCCAACCCTCACCCCGGGCTCATCGGTCCCCCGTGTGCCAAGAGACCACGAAAATAGAGGCACTAAAAACAGAGTCGCAGCGTGGAAGGGGATGGGGGTGAGAGACGAGGTTCAGGGATCCTAGCGGGTCCCAGTCGGGCGGTGACAGGGGGCGGGGAGTCGGGGGGGAGGTCGGCCGACTGGGGTCTGTGAGCATGGTGTAGGCATTGCGTGAGATTATTTTTAATGAATGTGCGTGTCTGAGAATGGCTGTACGTGTGTTTATGTATCAGTGTGTGTGTGTGTAAATGTGTATGCGTGTCTATGACTGTGTCAGTGTGTGTGTGTGTAAATGTGTATGCGTGTCTATGACTGTTTGTGTGGGGAGCGGTAGTGTAGCGGTCAGTGGCCAGCGCGCTGCGTTATGAACCCGGCCTTACGAGTTCGATTCAACACCTGTGGCGATTATCTGTGCCCGTACTGCGCCTCCCCTAGGTCGATTCAGCCTCAAATGAGTACCTAGTGCGGTGTGAAAAAACTGTCACTGGGGAGACAAAGGCGGTCGGGCGTGGTTCTGGCCATCCACCCCCTCGTGTACCGTTCCGGCCTTCATAGGTGCTCGCTAACAGCACTTTCCCCAACAGTCTGTTAAGGCTATACGGGGGATCGTTGTCTTGTCTAGATGACTTTATAAGTTTGTATTTGAGTACAATACTGTACGGTTCCCGTGTCTCAGCGTGTCTCTGTGTGTTGGGAGCGGTAGTGTAGTGGTTAGCGCGCTGCGCTACGAACCCTGTCAACCGAGTTCTATTCCCGCTCACGGCCATCGTCAGTGGAGAATAAAGAACCGGTTGTTGGCATCTTCTAGGTCGACTCACCCTTAAATGAGTATCTGGAGTATCTATGGACAAAACATCGTCACTTCCACCAACCTGTGCATGAATGCTCGCGGACAGCACTGGCCCCAAAAGGCTGTTTTAAAGGCTACCCGGGGGATCTTTGCGTAAGGGGACAGAGTAATCTCTCTCAGTGGTGCAGTTCACACAACATACCCTGGCCCACTTTACGCGCGCGGCTGGGCGCGCAGGGTCAGGATTTGGGATCAGGGTAGAGGGTGAGAGGTTGGGGGTTGCGGAGATAAATTTAGAATTTCCCGACCGGAGGACCTCGGGTTTGACTGGAGCCCGAATCTACGACGGGTGTCCAACAAATGCTACAGCTCAAGTGGACAGCAAAGGATCGCTCGTTAATTCTAGATTTAAAGCTTTCGTGACTGCAAGGATCCATACTCTTTGGTTCTATTCGGTAAAGTGCGATGAAGGCCGCTTGTGTTGTGGCCGAAACGTCGTGATTTTTGTTGTTTTATTTTTTACCTACGTGACTTTGCCGAATAGAACCAAAGAGTATGGCTCGCTCGTTACTCGGCACGGGGTCATTTTTTGGCGGCGATTCAATAAAAAACAAATCGAATTACTTACATTAGCGGGACTGTCCGGTCGACTTACAGTGCTGGTATATGTAGCGCCTCGAGTGGCTGCAGGGGTCTCGCGTGAATCAATTATTGCCGTGTGCGTTAACGGAGCCGATTCCAATTAATATATCAGTGCGCGCGCCCGCGCGTGTTCCACGTGACGCAGACAGAGTCAATTGCGTCGTGCATCACGTGGGGCGTGTTTAACAATGATCGGGCGCGTGCAGCGTGCACCGAGGGACAGAGATTTGTATTTGAACGGGGAAGGACTTAGCGTGGTGAGAGTGTCGGTGACTGGAATTTGAGAAACCCTGGATTAATCGGCTCATCTTCGGATGCAAATATACACCGCACCCACAGAAACATTTTCGCGTCTCCCTTCCCGCAGCCGTCCGCGCCGTCGACTCCCTGCCGCTGTTCAAGTCAAGGCTCAAGATTTTCCTTTCGTCCCTCTCCACACGACCGATTTCCTCTTTCCGCCTTCAATTTAAACAAGCGCACAGTTGCGATCCAGCGTCTTGCGGTGCCGCCACATGCACGCGCTCTTATACATTCAACTTGTGTTGTGCAGGGAACATCAGTACCAACTCTCTAACGCACACGGCTGGAAACACGATCTGAAATGATCTAAAGTGCGCGGCGATCGGTGCAGATACAATTCCCATGGCCCGGGAATCAAACTCAGGTTGCAAGAGTCGGGTTCAAAGCGCACAAGTGCGCCAACCACTGCGCCACCGTTCCACCCCCCTCCCCCCCAGTGGCATAAATGCTCCGCGGAATTCACATACCGTAGTTACAAAGAACCCCCCCCCACCACCAACACCGCGTAGGGGTAAGTGCTTTTTGCACTGGAGCAATGCACTTTTAAATATAGAATGAAAACGAATTTCTTTCGAACTGCGTTTTGTGTTAAGAGTTTGTTGTCCTCCAGCAATTGCGATCAACACGGTCGGCTACGTACGGTGCGAAAGAAGTTCAACATACATAGGCAAGCACCTAGGAAGGCCGGCACGACACACGAGAAGGGTGGGTGGCCAGCACCACGCACGACTGCCTTTGTCTCCCGCGTGGCCATGTTTAGGCATCGCACCGGGTACTGTACTAATTTGAGGCTAAGTCGACCTAGGGGAGGCTTAGGACTGGTTCAGATATGAGCGGGAATCGAACTCGAGTGGGACCTCAGCTTGCAGCGCACAAACCGCCACACGACCGCTCACCGTCAATGTATACACAATGAGCACACACACACACGTTTGACTTGTAATAGGTTAAATGAACAAAGAGCTGACTGTTCCTAAGGTGATTCCACTCCCGTTCTGCTCACAAGCGTGAGCCAATTAGACCTGATCCGTTAGATGCGCTTGCTTGGCAGTGTACAGCTCAGCCTCGGGTGGGCGTTCGGGTTTACTGGCGCGTGTGTGCGGATCTTCACGTACGGTGTATGTGTGTCATCTTCAAACGAGCACCTGGTGCAGTGTGTAAACATCAGCACTGGGGAGACAAAGGCGGCCGGGCGTGGTGCTGACCATCCCACCCCTTCATGTGCCGTGTCGGCCTTCATAGGTGCTCACTAACTGCACTTGCCTCAACAGTGTGCTAAGGCTACACGGGGGTTATTTGTCTGTGTGTGTGTGTGTGCCCTCACCTGTGTGTGGGTCCCCGGGTTGAGGAGCGTTGTCTCTGGTAGGGTGGAGGTGGCGCTCTGCGCTCGGGATCCGTGCACACTCCCCCGAGTTAGAGGAGTGTGGTGGTGGGTGGGGTGGGGGGGCGGTGAGAGGGAGAAGGGGGTAAGTGCGGTGAGAGGGGTCGACAGGGGGGCGGGGGTTGCGGTGGGAGAGAGGGGGGGGGGTCTGGGGGATCATTCGGAATGTTCCATTCTGTCACGGGTATCGTTGTCCTCCACTTTATCAATGGAATGAGCGCGCACACCTTGTGAGGGTCTCTTCTTCCCCGGCAGCTCTCCCTTTCAAATGCTTTTCACATCGCAATGGTTGTTCTAATTGTGGTGGTGGTGGTGATGGTGGTGGTGACGTGTGATTTGATGAGTGCATTTCCATTTCGCAGTTTTTTTTCCTTTTTAGGAATGATCCATGCAGTTCGGAGCGCAGATTGTGTCTGCCCGTGTGATTTCGGGTCGTCCCGAGGTGTTGTTCGGCATGCTGTCCGACGTTTCGCCCCGCACGCCGGGAGATTATTTAAGACAATTCAGTCGCCGCAGAAGAGGTTCCCAGTTCTGCGCGTCTCCATGAGGAACTGAAGAAGCTGCCTTGCATTTGTGAAGCGAATCGTCGGACATCATGCGGAACAACACGCGGCGTACAGCAAAGCACTACACGGCACAACCGTGAAAACGTACAGCAGTTGCGAATACCATTCATCTCGTGCCAATCAAGTAAACTGCATATATACAATTAATTCTCAGAGTTGTAATGTATAAAGTAATGGAGCACATTGATTGTGATTGTTTTTTTTATTGTGTACAGTGAATTGCAATCGGGCTGAGACCATCAAACTCGCCACGCCTGAGACCCTCGGTTTTATCATCGGAGACTGAAGCTTCGATTCGAACCCAGGACCTCGCCGCTTCTGCTTTCGGTGTTTCTGACACAGCCATTGTGAACCCTGAGCCAACCCTTTGCCGACAGATCATTTTCACTCAAATCGCCGCCCGCCGCGTCCTGTACTTTAAACGCCGCGTTTCCGTATCGCGAGGCTGCTCGCAGGATATCATCGGCGCTGCTGATGAGGCCCATACAATCAAAACCGGACCACATTTCGCTAGCTTAAACGAATGTTACTCATTGTTTTTTTTTTCGGTAAAGTCACGTATGTAGAAATACAATAAAATTATATATATAAAAAAACAATCACGACGTTTCGATCACAACGCAAGCGATCTTCATCAGGTGTCAAGAACAAATCACGGAGGTAAATACAACAAAAAGATGAGAGACGAGAATTCAACACACCTGAAAAAACATTATGTGAGGCACATCCAGTCAGGCCAACAACACAGTTAGTAGACACTTCCTGGCGGACCACGAATTTCAGAAGAGTGTTAAATTTCGTGAGTGTTAAATTTCGTGTTTAACACTCTTCTGAAATTCGTGGTCCGCCAGGAAGTGTCTAACTGTGTTGTTGGCCTGACTGGATGTGCTTCACGTAATGTTTTTCAGGTTTGTTGAATTCTCGTCTCTCATCTTTTTTGTTGTATTTACCTCCGTGATTTGTTCTTGACACCTGATGAAGATCGCTTGCGTTGTGATCGAAACGTCGTGATTGTTTTTGTTTTAATATAATTTTATTGTATTTCTACATACGTGCCTTTACCGAAAAAAAACAATTAGTAATTTTGTGCAGTCACGAAAGCTTTAATACTTTATTAAACGGATGTTGTTCAATACCATTGGTCAGGAAATCCAATAGGCTGATGGACTAACCTAAATCCTGTACATGTGTCCGTAAATGGAGATACTTAACTGGGCTCTTCCTATATATGACAAGAAGAACAGCTCTACATCTTCATACAATATTCGGGGTAACGTGGGGGTCTACATGCCACCACCAAGGAGCAGGAAAGTAGAGGAGAAGGGGGGGAGAGGGGGAGACGTGGATGTGAAGGAAGGTAAAAGGGGGTTAACAAGGAGTGCAGTAAGGACTGCATTTTTAGAAGAAAAAAAATTAGTATTGAAATGTCTCTAAATTCTATTCCACGTGTTCCATCGGCATCGTCATGAAACATTCCCAAACACTCACCAGTGAGCAGTGCACCACCACCAGCAATATACTACGGTATAGAATCGTGGTGGGTGGGGGGGGGCAAAAATAGAAGACCTTAGCATAGCCAGCAAGACGTTAGCACTCAAGAAGATAGTTGAGCACGCAGCGGAAGCTACAATGCCGTGAGTAGAAAAAACCCAAAAGAAAATGGCAAACTGAGAAAAACCTTGGAACTATCACGGGCAAAGGAGAAAAAACAAGGCTAGCGATAAAGGAATCGGATTTGATGGCGGCTGAGAACAACAAGCCACGCGATGTGGTAAGGACATCCGCAAGAAAAGATCAGCAGGAATGGCTGGAAAGGGAATGTAGTGACACTGAATACTACTCTGGAGAATACGAGAGCAGGGAGGTATACTAACGAGTCAAGAGCACACAGAGAGGAAGTGGCTACCAAGACAAACGGCGACACAAGGCAAGCACGGTAAGATCTTGATGGACAAAGAGACAAAAAAAGAGATGGACTGAGGATTACAGCGATTTGTATTGGGATATACGGATCGAGAGAATAAAGCGCTGTTGGATGAACTCGAAAAGATATCCTCGCCACCAAGGGATAATGACAATGATAGCATTTTCTACGAAGCAGTAGAAAGGGAAATTAACATAGGAAGAAAAACAAAAGTCCGGGAGTGGAGGCAAGGAACTTATGAACGAAATCCATGAGCTATGCAAGCAAATCACGTATGGAGAGAAGGGAAAATACCGGAGGAGTGGACAAAATCCAAACTTGTGACGATACCCTAGAAAGATCTCACCGATTGTAAAATGTACAGAACAATGGCACTAATAAGCCACATGGGGAAGATAAGAATGATATTTATATGAAATCGATTAAAAGCACAGACTGCTGATTATTTGGCAGATGAACAGGCAGGTTTTAGGAAAGATAGTAGCACAGTAGAGCAAATATTGATGTTAAGGCTTATAGCAGAGAAAGCAAAGAGAAGGAATAGTGTGGTTTACAAGATTTGCCCATGAAGCCATCCAGACATATAAACACAGAGACAGTTTCAACCGAGAAGATGGGTATAAGCTGAGCAATCATTGGGAGGACGTTATTAACCAAGCAAAGTCGTAACTTGCTGCGGTGCTTCCAATCGTCCCTGCCGTTTGGCTGTTATCTCCGCCTCTCTGAGTTGCATTGCCCTGCTAGGCGCCTCTGCATTAATGGGCTGGGGTCTCACTAGCATGGCCACCTCTGCTCCCTTAGCCTCGATGTATCGATGGTTTTGGCTGTGTGATGGGCTGTGTGTCTCACTGGCGCAACCACTGTTGCGGTGGTTCTCTTGCGTGGACGCGCTTGCCTCTCACAGCGCAGTTGGCAGCGCCGCAGCTTGTGTTACACATAGACATGATATTAACTTGCTAATCTCTCTAATCTATCTGCCTAATCTCTCCCATCAACATACAGTGAGGGAAAAAAGTATTTGATCCCCTGCTGACTTTGTACGTTTGCCCACTGACAAATAAATGATCAGTCTATAATTTAATGGTAGGTTTATTTGAACAGTGGGAGAGAGAATAACAACAAAAAAATCCAGAAAAACGAATGTCAAAAATGTTATATATTTATTTGCATGTTAATGAGGGAAATAAGTATTTGACCCCTCTGCAAAACATGACTTAGTACTTGGTGGCAAAACCCTTGTTGGCAATCACAGAGGTCAGACGTTTCTTGCAGTTGGCCACCAGGTTTGCAACACATCTCAGGAGGGATTTTGTCCCACTCCTCTTTGCAAATCTTCTCCAAGTCATTGAGGTTTCGAGGCTGATATTTGGCAACTCGAACCTTCAGCTCCCTCCACAGATTTTCTATGGGATCAAGGTCTGGAGACTGGCTAGGCCACTCCAGGATCTTAATGTGCTTCTTCTTGAGCCACTCCTTTGTTGCCTTGGCCGTGTGTTTTGGGTCATTGTCATGCTGGAATACCCACCCACGACGCATTTTCAATGCCCTGGCTGAGGCAAGGAGGTTCTCACCCAAGATTTGACGGTACATGGCCCCGTCCATCGTCCCTTTGATGCGGTGAAGTTGTCCTGTCCCCTTAGCAGAAAAACACCCCCAGAGCATAATGTTTCCACCTCCATGTTTGGCGGTGGGGATGGTGTTCTTGGGGTCATAGGCAGCATTCCTCCTCCTCCAAACACGGCGAGTTGAGTTGATGCCAAAGAGCTCCATTTTGGTCTCATCTGACTACAACGCTTTCACCCAGTTGTCCTCTGAATCATTCAGATGTTCATTGGCAAACTTCAGACGGGCATGTATATGTGCTTTCTTGAGCAGGGGGACCTTGCGGGCGCTGCAGGATTTCAGTCCTTCACGGCATAGTGTGTTACCAATTGTTTTCTTGGTGATTATGGTCCCAGCTGCCTTGAGATCATTGACAAGATCCTCCCGTGTAGTTCTGGGCTGATTCCTCACCATTCTCATAATCATTGCAACTCCACGAGGTGAGATTTTGCATGGAGCCCCAGGCCGAGAGAGATTGGCAGTTTTTTTGTGTTTCTTCCATTTGCGAATAATCGCACCAACTGTTGTCACCTTCTCACAAAGCTGCTTGGCAATGGTCTTGTAGCCCATTCCAGCCGTGTAGGTCTACAATCTTGTCCCTGACATCCTTGGAAAGCTCGTTGGTCTTGGCCATGGTGGAGAGTTTGGAATCTGATTGATTGATTGCTTCAGTGGACAGGCGCCTTTTATACAGGTAACAAGCTGAGATTAGGAGCACTCCCTTTAAGAGTGTGCTCCTAATCTCAGCTCGTTACCTGTATAAAAGACACCTGGGAGCCAGAAATCTTTCTGATTGAGAGGGGGTCAAATAATTATTTCCCTCATTAAAATGCAAATCAATTTATAACATTTTTGACATGCGTTTTTCTGGATTTTTGTTGTTGTTATTCTGTCTCTCACTGTTCAAATAAAGCTACCATTAAAATTATAGACTGATCATTTCTTTGTCAGTGGGCAAACGTAC